GACGATGAATAAGGATGACAGAAGAAAAATTGATGCCTTTGAGTTGTGTTGCTGGAGAAGAGTCTTGAACATACTGTGGACTGCCAGGAGAACAGATCTGGCCTGTAGAGGGTGAAACCAAGCTGCTCCTTGGAGGAAAGGAATTTGAAGCTCTGTCTTATGTACAGGCATGTGGCTTGGAGGGACCAGTTCTTGTAGAAAGACATCATGCTCAGAAGGGTGGAAGGACAGCGCAGGAGACGATGATTTAGATTGACACAGTAACTGGAGTAATGGGGGTAGGTGTGTCAGAGACAGTGAGATTGGCTCAGGCTAGAGCAGAGTTCAGAGCTGTTGTACGTAGGGTTGGGTCTCTATGAGTCTCAAGCGACCTGATGGCACACAACAACATAACAATGATGCTTCTTTGAGGAGTAGTTCAGTCTGGCTGTCCAAGTCTTGGCATCACTCATAACTCAGCCCATGTTATCAAGCATCTTTCCCTAGTCCCCTATTGTATCAAAAGGCGTTACTGTCAGGTTGGAGCTGACTGATAGCACAGGAACGGCTTGCCCATCTTTCTCCCAGAGCTGCTGGTGGGTTTGAACCTCCGGGAAGGTGCCATGTTGGGGTAGTCACACAGCGCTGTGCAGATTGAAACCCCAGAGCTCGCTTAATGGAACATGCTAATTGTGCTTCTTTTACTGACATTTGGTTGTGGTTTCAATTTTTTTTTTAAAGGAAGAGTTTTTTTTCCCCAAAGTCTCATGACTGAAACAGTTTTAACTTTTCAGCTGGACTTTATTCACCTTGGTAGAATTAGAACTTCTTTGGGAATCTTGGAAAACAAAGCACCCTTTGCCCATCATGGATGGATTACCAATTCCAGTGCATTTGTCACAGCTGGAGTTGATTCAGTGATTTGGTGAATGAAGAAGAGCATTCTAGTGTCAGTATTATCAACACAGGATATATGCTTTAGGGGATGAGCTTGAAGCTGGTGTTTGAATTGGAGACAACATGGTAGGAACTACCCCAAAGAAAAACCCAAAAGTTAAGTGTCAGTGGGGTTTATTGAGTGAGAAACCATATGGAGAGGGAGCTTGGATTTACAGTTACAACATCCTTTTAAATTTAGTTGGGTAGCATCTCACCCTTTGGCTTGGTTAGTTGGTCTTGTTCTGTGCCATTGAGTCAAAACTGACTCATAACTGACACTCTAGCGGGTTTTCAGAGGCTGTGGATCAACCAGGAGGAGTTTGCCCATTTTTTCTCCTGCAGATCAGCTGATGGGTTCAAGCGATGTGCCTTTGGCTTGACAGTGAACTGCTTACCACTAGGCCACCAGAGTTTCCTTTGGTTGGTTAACCACATATAATTTTCCTTTTGTTTTGGGAGCAGTAATAGGAGTAGAATCCACTTCCTAAACAACATGCCTCCAGAAACTCCATGAACTTTGATAAATGTTGATGATTATAGAAAGACTTCAGGCCTTTTGTTCGTAGGGTCACTTTAAGTCATGCTTGACTCAAAGGCAATCAACAACAATTACTGAATTGTTGAACAACATTCACTAATTGAATGCTAAACTGACTTACCTTGATTGATGAGTATTACTAACTCTTGCTTTTAATGTTTTAGTTTGGAGTCTGCATTTTTGTGACTGGCTTTAGGACTCATTGTCATTTGGCTCTTGGCTCAAGGAACCCATTTTCATTCTTGCCTTTATAAACATTGTTAATACAGATTCGTGGTTTTCACTGAGAGGCACTTTCTCAAAGCTCAGTAACTTTTGCAGAATTTGTGACTAGGGAGCCTGGTGTCTAGAACCCTGGTAGGGAGTTGTGTTCCTAACCCAAAGACTGTGCCTCTTCCACAGTTTGAATCCAACAGTGTCACCAGGAAGGAAGATGAGCAATGTCCTCCCATGCAGTTTATAGCCTCAGAAACCCATTCATTGGAGGATCAGCTATGAGTTGGTTCGCAGTTGACAGCAATGAGCATGTTTGAGTTGTGGCTAGGAGGACAAGTGAGGGGACCAAGAGGCCATAAACCAGGCTTTTCTCCATGGAAAGTCTGGAAGACTGCCCAAGCCCAGACTTGACTAAAGTGAGGCTGTGGGCTGGAACCACCTGGGCTGGCCTGTTTGCTCAGTGCCTAGGAATCATTGCTTCAGCTCCTAACCTTGTGTGAAGAGAGAAGGGCTTGGAAACAAAGAGTTTACTCAAAAGTAGCAAGGTACAGGGAGAAACCATCCCTCAGAAAGTACCTGGCATGTTGAAGCTAATTGCTAATTTGTGGTTGTGATGTCATGGCGGGAATGGAACATCCTCTTCTCCTTTCTGTTGGGACAGGCCTGCATTGTGTGGACGCTGCCTGCCCATGCCTGACGCTTCCCACGAGGCCTCGCATGTGACAAGGCTCTAGGAGGTTCCAGCCCTGGCACAGGCATTCTCAGTGCTGCAGAGGGAGCCTGGGCCACCTACGGATATGGGCAGAGCAGAGGGAAGGGTGAGAGTTCAATAGGAATTGTCAGAAGGCCTGTAAGTGCAGTGAAGGGGAAGAATCAGGAAGGAGGGAGACAGAGGCCACAGATGACAGAGGCTTTAGTCATGATTTCTGAGGAAGAGCTAATGATGTCTGAGAAGTATGTTCTTAGAGGAACAACCTCAGTTACCTTGATTCATTTCTTTTTCCCACATAAAAGAGCTATGGGTTAGTTTCCACTTGTTGCTGTAGCAAGTAGACTTGATTGTGTAAAACGAGAAGGATGTATTACTCTGCAGCTTTGAAGGTCAGGCACCTTAGAAGTTTTAAAGCAATGTATTGGTAGGACTGTGCTGCCTCTGTGAGTGATAAGGGGGCACTCTTTTCCTGGTCCCTTAGAGTTTCTGGTCAGGCTTTCCTTGGCTGAATCACTCCAATCTCTAATTCCCTCTTCACATGTCCTTCTCTGAGCCTCTGTCTCTCTTATAAGGACACTTGTGGTTGCAAATAGGGCCTCCAGAAGGTATTCAGAGGCAGTTGAATTGCACAGGAGAAGACTGCCCTTCTATCTGCCATAGAGCACCTGGTGGATTTGATCTCCATGACTTTAGGATTGCAGTGCAGCTCCTTATTACAGCTCCTAGGCCACAGAGCTCTCTAAAAAGGGCATACTTAGATCTCTGTCTTTCTCTCTCTCTCTCTCTCTCTCACACACACACACACACACACAGAGAGAGAGACACACACATTGCCTTTGAGTCATTTCCAATTCGTAGTGACCCTACAGGACAGAGTAGACCTGGCCTATAGGGTCTCCAAGGCTGTAAATCTTTGGAAAAACAGTGTCACTTCTTTCTCATAATTCAGGATAATCTCATCTCAAGATCTTTAACCCTATCACATCTACAAAGGCTCTTTTCCAAACAAGAGCACATTATTAATTGCTAAGGATTAGATTTGATATCTCCGGTGGCCATTGTTCCAACCGACTACATACAATCAAAGAGCTAAATAAATTATCCTAACGTAATTGTGTGATCTGATAAAAGGAGCAAATCGCCTTACAGTTGAGCATTTAGGTTGTTTATTTTTGGTATCTTAAGAATTTCATTGCCAAAGGATGTAATTTTTAAAAATGCAGCATAGAGTCAAGCAGAGACAGAGCCTAATTGTGTTTGTCAGCATTTCCCTTGCATATACATAAACAGACACACACATCTACTGCTTGCTTATCTGTTAAGTTTGCTGTGTTGTGGTGGCATGCTACTGTTAAACTAGAAGCTATGCCAGTGGTATTTCAGATGCTAGCAGGGTCACTCGGGGTGACAGGTTTCCGTGGTGCTTCTAGACAAAGTGACTACGAAGCAGGACTGGCCATCTACTTCTGATAATAGCCAGTGAAAACCTATGCATTATACCAGGTTGGAGAAGTTAAAACCCAAGCTCACTGTTGTTGATTGTGACTCTAAAGTATAAATGCTCCATAGAGTTTCCAAGGCTGTAAATAATTACAGAAGTAAGCTGCCTCTTTTTCTTCCATGGAGCAGCTGGTGGTTTCAAATCATCATCTTTTTGATTAGCAGTCAAGCACTTTGGCCACTGTGTGACCAGGGCTGGAAGACACTCACAATATACAGTGGCCACGGTAATGGTCTTGATAATACCAAACATGGCCAAGACAGTGCAGGACTGGCGGTGTTTTGTTCTGTCGTGGATGGGGTTGCCAGAGCTGGAGTTGATTCAGTGGAAATGAACAATGATAACAGTTTATCAGAGGAGGTAAATATTCAGAGACAGAGGCATCCTAGTGTGTTCTAGAGCAGAGAAACGACCAGGGATGTGGCACTTCGGGACACTAAATTTCCAGCCGCCTAGCCCAGGAGTAAAGCTGGAGCAAGGTTTGGCTGCTTTCAGGAGAGGGGACCTGGTGGACAGGACCAGAACTGGATAGGATGGCGGTGATTCTTGAGAGCAAGTAGTTGAGACTCTGCTCCAGCAAGACGTGGTGTCTTCCTGACTTCCTGAGACCCAAGCTTGAAATGAATCCTTTGCTGTTCTTGCCACATAACCTTTCAAACTTGCTTAAATATATTTTCTTTCTCCTACTAATTGAATCTTTTGATTCCCCCCAAAAAAGAATTTATTCTTCTACCCCCCCCTTTTTTTTTTTTGCCTTAAAAGAACAAAACAAAAATCACAATTAAAAGACTGTTGTCATATGTAGCTTCTGACTTCTGGCAGCTCTGGACGTTGTAGAGAACTGTGCTCCAGAGAGTTTTCAAAGTCTGATTTTTCAGAATCAGAGTTTTCAAAATCAGATCGTGGAGCCTTTTTTTCAAAGCGCCTCCAGGTGACTTCCAGCCTCCAGCCTTTTCGTTAGCAGCTGAGTGTTTAACTGTGCTGTGCAATTTAATTAGCTTTTTCTCCTAAGGCAGAGATATTGCTGTGTATTCTCTTAGGGTTCTTATTAGCAGTCAAGTAATGACCTTTGTCTGCACTGTCTGCTAAGAGCCTTGCTGTTGGTTTCTCCTTAGGTGGCCATCAAAGTCATTGACAAGAAGAGAGCCAAAAAGGACACCTATGTCACCAAAAACCTGCGGCGTGAGGGACAGATCCAGCAAATGATTCGTCACCCCAACATCACTCAGCTCCTCGATATCTTAGAGACTGAAAACAGCTACTACCTGGTCATGGAGCTGTGTCCCGGGGGCAACCTGATGCATAAGATCTATGAGAAGAAGAGGCTGGAGGAGTCAGAAGCCCGCAGATACATCCGGCAGCTCATCTCTGCAGTGGAGCATCTGCACCGGGCCGGGGTGGTCCACAGGTAAGGCCCCCCACTGGTGGTGCTGGGTTCTGAGTAACTGAAGCGTGCTTCACAGTTCTGTGCTTGTGGACATGTTTTGGCGGTTGATGCTGGAGTGTGGGTTCAGAGGGCTGAGTCAGGAACTAGACTGCCTGAGTTTGCATCCTGGCAGACTTTAATAGCTGTATAATCTGTGCTGTGGCAAGTTACTTAACATCTCTGAATCTTGACCTCTTAATATTTCTCTTCTAATTCTATAAAATGGGATTCAGAATGATACTTGGTGTAAATGAGAGTAAATAAATTAACATATACATCTTAGTTTCCTAGTGTTGCTGTAGCACAAATACCTCAAGTTGATGACTTTGAAGAACAGAAATTTATGTTCTCACAGTTTTAGAGGCTGTGAGGATCCAGACCAGACTCGTGGCCATGTCAGTTTTCCCCTTGTCAGTAGCCCTGGGCTTTGTGAAGGCATGACGTTGATGCTCGTGCTGTCTGCATGCATGCCTCGCTGTCTAGACTGCTCTTCATGTCACTCAGAAGCGATTAGAATGAGGATCTCCCAAACAGACTTGCTGATTCTTCTCACAGTCCATGGTATATTCAATTTTCCTTGCCAACTCGACAATTCAAATATGTCAGTTCTTCTCCAGTGTTCCTTTCTCATTGTCCAACTTTTGCGTGGATATGAGTTGTTGTTGTTATGTGCCGTCGAGTCGCCTGTGACTCATAGCGACCCTATGTACAACAGCCCTAAACTCC